TTGACATTGCTTTTGATTTGATTGAAAAAAAAGACCCCAATTCATTTAATTTAGGCCGCAAAAAATATTCACATAAATGTAAACATTTATCTATCCAATGTATCCATCCATACGAACAATTGCACTTAACATGTTATTCGTTAAAATTATAAAATACTAAAATACTTACAAGCGAATGCATTTAAGCAGCTAGTCTACCAGACGGGCCGCTCAGGTCACCCTGTTTTCCCGGGCGGCCCGGCCGTGCAAGGTCCCAGCCAAAAAAAAAAAAAAAATCCCCAAAAAAACAATGTTATGCAGAATAAAAAACTGAACAGCTTTTTGCCTCAGGGTCACATCGAAATTCTTTTTTTTTTTTTTTTTGGCCCGGCCAGGCGAATGCTCCATGGCCACACTCGTAGCCTTGGTAAACAGTGACGTATAACCCCCAGCATATGCTTACGGCCTCCCAGTACAGCCGTAATACTTATGTGAAGGATGTGTATCCGACAAAGAAACCTAGGGTATGACAAAGCCTTTAAGCCTTGCATCGGAGCTGTAAATACATCCTTAACCCCTTCTGCTGAGGGTGTATTTCATATAGAAACGCTATAGGGGGTACTTGTCGTTATGGGGTACTTCTCTCGTGGGGCAACTTGTCTCGTAGTGACATCCACTCTCAAGCATGGAACTAGACGTAGAGACGTAGAATACGGCGCTGAGTCTGTGGCCTTTGTGACGTCATACTATATTCATAAATTCATACATTCGCTAGGCTACCAGCCGGGCCGCCCGGGTCACCCTTTTTACCGGGCGACCCGACCGTGCAAGGACCAGGGAAGGCCCCAACCAAAACAAAAAAAAAACAAAAAAAAAAAATAAAATCCAAAAAATCTGAACAAAAACACTATGTTATGCACAAAAGTAAACTGAACAACTTTTGCCTCAGGGTCACATTTTGAAATTCTTTACCAAGCTACCAGCCGGGCCGCCCGGGTCACCCTATTTGACCGGGCGGCCGTGCAAGGACCAGGGAAGGCCCCAGCCAAAACAAAAAAAACAAAAAAAACAAAAAAATCCAAAAAAAAAAAACAAAAAAAACTAAAAACTAAAAAATCCAAAAAAACAAGAAAAAAACAAGAAAAAAAAAAATCCAAAAAATCTGAACAAAAACACTATGTTATGCACAAAAGTAAACTGAACAACTTTTGCCTCAGGGTCACATTTTGAAATTCTTTACCTCTTTACCATCTTCGTCATCCCCACATACGACTGCACCTCATCATTTTTCTTTAATATTAATATTAATTAATATTATTATCATTTTATTATATTAATTTTTCCGTACTAACACACACCATCCCAGTCCTCATCATCCGGATCCCTACGTCGTTCTCTATTGAGGTATCAGTGACGTATCGTTGGGACCACCACCTTCCCAACGTTGGACTTATCTCCAACTATAGAAACGATTTTTTTCAATTTTTATTGTTTTGGAAGGAAGAAAAAAAACATATTCGTCATACCCACGTACTACTGCACATTTTTTTTATTTTATTTTTTTACCCCCAGTGCTGGTACACATAATCCTCATCCTCATCATCCGGATACCAACGCCTTCCTCTTCTGAGGTATCGTCGGGACCACCACTTTCCCTCGGTTGGACTTAATCTCCAACGATTAAAACGATTTGTTCCTCCCCCAACCCCCCAACCTAAAAAAAAAAGAAAAGAAAAAAAAAAGAACTTCTTCATTCATTCCCCCCCAC